CAGCATGGCTGGCTGGGGAATTCTGGGAGTTGAAGTCCACACGTCTTAAAGTTGCTGAGGTCGAGAAACACTGTCAAATGCATCCTGTGCACCATTCACACGACGAAGTGGTGGGAGATATGTCAGAGGACGGATCGGTAAGGAATTCTATCAAGTAACGCTTTTGTATTTCTTTTAATTTTCCCGGCAGGCTTTGGGAACCATTCCTTCAGTGCCGATTAAAGTTCCTCAGGTCAGTTCCTTACAGAGGTTGGCAGGACAAAGGCCAGCAGTGCTACCTCAGGTAGGAAAGCAACTTTTGGACGAGGTCCCTGTGCTGATATCGCAACTAAACAGGGGCGTCTGGGGGCAGGGGGTATCAAAAAAGTCAAGAGGGCAGCCCCAACTGTGTGGTTGAAGCCCCAACCATTTTTCAGCTGGAAGAGGGGGGCAGAGCTTCAACTGGACAGTCATCCTTTTACTGATTCACTACTTTCGCCTTGCAATGGACCTGTAGCCCTTTGGCTTTCTGCTTCTAACACACCCCCAAACCCTCTGTTAGTATCTCTTACAAGCTCAGCCCTTTTGGAGCTTTAGCCATTCCGAAACAATTCCTACACTTTTTGGAGACCATCTTGCCACTCCTTATATTTTCTGTGCATGCCCTTTCTTTCTTTCTTTTTAGCGTTTTGGAGAGCTCTCTGTGTATTGATGCCGGCCTCTTGTAGTTCTCCCATTTTTCCTTTGTGTAGAAATTGTTTGCAAATGAACCTTCAGATTCTCATTTCGTAGGATGTCCCATCCTTCGTGGATACTTTTCTCCTCCAGGATTTCAAGCCGTTGGATCAGACCTACCTTCCCCAGAGTTCATCAAAATTTGCTTTTCTGAAGGCCAGGATGCAGGTCTGACTCTTCTCACTCCCTGCTTCCCTGGATGGCCCAGATCCCAGGATAACACAGTCCCTCTCCCCCAGGTGCCACTCACTGTCACTTCTTCAATCAATTCCTCCCGTTGGTGAGGATTAAGTTCACCTAATTAGAAGGCCTCCTTGCTCTTTCTTCCACCTTCCGACAGATGAAGTAGTCACCGAGAGAGGACAAGAATTCAT